TCTTCTTCTTCTTCTTCTTCTTCTTCTTCTTCTTCTTCTTCTTCTTCTTCTTCTTCTTCTTCTTCTTCTTCTTCTTCTTCTATAACTTATTCTAGATTGAGACCTCTGTGTCTCAAGCTCCAGCTAGCATGAGGATCTTGGTTGATTTTGTAATCTGTGCCATGCACTGTCAAAGTGTTCTGAAACATGGAACTGAGCTGTATTCCTCCCTGATTCTCGAAAACCTGATATCAAAAAAAAATCCCTAATAATCTAGTAGTCACTCTCTTGCTAGGTTATAAGAAGTAAAATAGGGCCACAAGCAACACAATCTGCCTGGTAGTTTCTATTGCCCTGTTTAGGAGTAAATCCAGTCTGTGTCATTCTGACCCAAAGCTGTGTGTCTGTGTCACGGGCGGCAGCTAGAAAGGTTCACTAATGGCCGCCACCACTCTGGTATGGGTTTCCTCGGGAGGGCCCGCAGCACCCACTGTTATGTATTCACCGTATTAAATGTAATGTTAAACTGGAGACCTTAGCCAGGATTCTAAGCTGGAACAATCCTATTGGCTAATGCTTAAGTGTAACCAATCAGATGCAAGAGAACTGTGCTGGAGGGAACAAACCTGATTGGACATTATTGTAACAATACTATTGGTCCTTAACTATTCTAAGGCGTGGCTACATCAGCCCGGGATAGTTTAAAAGGGAGCTATGCGCCACTGTTTGTTGTTGTGTGTTATTCTGATGTTCCTGTTGTTAATAAAGCTGAATCGCTTACTTACAACGGCATTGAGTCAATACTTGACACCCACCCTACCCCTTTATGCACTCCTCCAGGAGTTTTCCCCTTATAAATGACTGAACGAGGCATGAGGCCCCAGGCAGAGTGACAAACTAGTTTTGTTAAAGAGATGCAACGATAACTGATTCAGTAATGCGTAGGGAAACTGAGCACAGTGAAGGTAGATAAACCAACAAATAATAAATCCTAACATGTCTGACTATACTGTCCTAGTCTTATCTAGGTACTTGGTCTCAAACTGACTCACCCCTTTTGGATGTGGGTTCCTTCCTTTTGCAGCAGCCTCAGCTAGGGCTGCCAGGTCCCCCGGGGGGGGGTTGCCTGCTCAAAAGGCTGCCGGACCAGATCCAGCTGGCGGGGGGAACCCCCCCCCAAGTGTCCGGATTGGGTTGATGTGCCTGGCGTGATGATGTCACCCAGAGGTGTCATAGAGTTTTCAGGAAAAATGCTAGAGCACCCGCGTCTACGTGCCTAGCATGGTGATATCACTTCTGGGTGATGTCATTGCAGCGCACGGACAAAGTCCTGGAGCGGGAGCTTCTCCCCCTGCTAAGGCTCAGGGCGGCTTACATGAAAGTAAATACATAGATAATTAAATTACCATAAAAGCATCTAAAAACAGTTCATTATAAAACAGTGCAGTATCATAAAGTGCTAGCAGTGTTGCTTTAATTTCATAGCGATGGCGTCACCATATGAGTGCATTCAATAGATTATCTAGATGTTCAGCTCGCTGATCTTTCCCAGATGTAATCGATATAATTGGCAGGCAGAGGCTGTCAATTGCAAACCAAGGGCCAGGGCTCTATACATCCAGATTGTTGTTGATTATAGACTATCTAGATGTTCAGCTCGCTGATCTTTCCCAGATGTAATCGATATAATTGGCAGGCAGAGGCTGTCAATTGCAAACCAAGGGCCAGGGCTCTATAAATTTCAGTTGTTGTTGATAGATTATCTAGATGTTCAGCTCGCTGATCTTTCCCAGATATAATCGGCAGGCAGAGGCTGTCAATTTCAGTTGTTGTTGCTAATGGTGGTGGCTCCTTAGTTGAAGGCCTGGTGGAAGAGCTCCGTCTTACAGGCCCTGCAGAACTATAAAATTAATTAATAATTAATTAATAAACGGTTGATGAATGGACCTGTCTGGTGGTACAGCGATCAAGGTTATCTCGCTTGAATTCACGAGTGAATTTGGTCTCTGGTAAAGCTTCTCGATTGACGGTCTTTTCCCCTTATTAACCAGTATTTTTCTGTCTGTCTGCAGCATTAGCCACTATGTTGTGGTCATGTCCTTCACCATCTTCTTGATGCTTTTAAATGGACTGTCCCAGCTGCTGACCACAAAGAGACTAGAGCTGTGGGAAAGGACCAAGCACCATCCGTTGTGACCACATGACTGGACTTTTTTTTTTTTTTTTGGTAAAACCTTCAGTCAACCTGAGGAACGAATAAAGTTGACTTTCAGGAATCCCTGGAAAACTTGATGCTACGGATGGTACCTTGACACCCCCTCCCTTCCTTTAGGATCTGAATCTTATTTTACACACACACACTCACACACTGGAGTGCATCGTAAGGATGACCGTCGCGCTTGATAGACCACTTCTGAATCAGACGGTCACCGGGACATCTAAGGAATCACCCTAGAAAGTATGGCAAACTCATTCCAGAGCCTGTTGCCTGTAGCAAGCGTTTTGCCCACTGGGTCTCCCAATCAGTGTTCACTTCTGGAATCAGTAATGGACTGAAGTGTGGGAAGATCAGCGTTGCTCCGCTGAGCGCCGTTGCAGGTCTTTGCTTATGGAAAGACCCCTTTTGAAGTCTTTCAGATGTGAAAGAAGACCGGGCGGGGGAGTCTAATTATGCTATTATTTTTTTAAAGGATGTACGTATTTGTTTACATTTTTAGGAGAATTGTTCTTTTTAATAAGGAAGTGCTGTGGGTGGATTTTACATTTTGTCGCTGTTGTTTATCGAGGGCTTCCCTCTCTGGCACACCTGGAAGCCCCAGATCTATCCACGGATGCAGCCAAGGATGAGATATGGTTCCCTGTCCTTCTGAGGAGCTCAGAGGAGTCCCCTTTTCATCCTGATCCTCTGAGTTGCACTAGAGTGAGAGACAGCGGCTTGCCCAAAGGCGATCAAGAAGATGCGCAGAGGAGGAAGGACTGAAATCTCTCCCTGTCCTGACGCATTGTTCGCCGCAACGAAGGGAAAAACCAGCCAAGGCCCTGGGAACCTGCGATAGGATCTCCCATCTCTTTACGTTTTCATAAAAAGTAGGGGAGTCTAGTGGGGGAGGGGAGGTTGATTGGGGACCGCATTGGTGGGGGAAGGGGTTTCAGTTCATGCCCACTGTCCCATTTCCACATGGCTTATTTGACCGCCCCCTTCCAGGGGGCTCCCTGGCCTGGCCTGCCCCCTTCCAGGTGGCCCCCTGGCCTGGCCCGCCCGCCTCGGAGTTGCCGGGGGGTCACTCTCCAGGCCTTCACTCTGTAGAGGTTTTGGCTGTAGTGGGCGTGGCCAACTCTGAAGCCAGCCGGAACTCCGTTCCTGTGCGTTCCTGCCCCAAAATAGCCCGGTCTCCATTCCCACAGCATCATGGTTCATTCGCATGCACTCCCAGGGTTCCCCTCGCTTTTCGCTGATGTTTCTCAGGACTGGGTTCCTGCAAAGCTTGGGAAAGAAGGCAGCAAAGTTGGATGGCTACCCTGTGTGTGGGGAAGTGTGGGCTTTCCACGTGGCAGCCATTTTCCCTGTCCCAACGGTGGCCATTTCCTACGCACACCACCCTGTTTTTTTTTAATTGTCAATTGGATATTTGTTATAACATTAACAATTTGTCTCTCAGGTTCTCTGAATCCCCAGCTTTCATTAAAAATAAGCCTCTAGCCTCTTTTGTTACGGAGATATAAGGGGAAAGGGATATTTCCTCAAGAGGCTTTTAAAAATGAAGGCTGGGAATTCAGAGAACCTGATAGATACATGTTATAATGTTATAACGATATTCAGCTGATTTTTTATTGTAATTAAAAAGCCCTGGTGCTATGAGGGAGTCGCTACTAGCAGGAAACTGGAGCAAGAAAACTACATGAGCCTGTCCCTGTGTAGCAAACACCTATGAACACCTACAGGATCTGGGACTAGGGTATGTCATCTCTTCTACCAATGTGCCTGACAACAAGGACATCTTCCGCAACTCTTCTGTTTATACCCCACTTTCAGAAGCAGGTACAGGGCTTTTGTTGAGCCTCCAAGGCTTTGGGAACTTTCCCACCACAGTGCTCATTGTCTTTTAAGCATTGGACAAAGTCAGTTTAATTCGTAAAGGTAAAGGTTCCAACTCTAGGCGCACGGAACGCTGTTACCTTCCCACCAAACTTGCAATTTCTTGCTTTCGAACTGCTAGGTTGGCAGGAGCTGGGACTAGAGACGGGAGCTCACTCCGTCATGCGGCACACTCAGGTCTCGAACTGCTAAACTACCGACCTTACACAGCCTGCAGTTCAGCGTCTTAACCACTTGAGCCACCGCAGCTCCAGTTTAATTCTTACAGGCCTTGATTTAAGTTATTTATCCTGTCTTGTTTTGACCTCTTTCTGATTTTTTTTTAAACTGCTGGTTTTGAATTAGAAACGTACCCTGTCTATTTCTCCTTGTTTGTTTTTGGTTTTAGGTAGGGGTTTCACTGATTTAGCCATTTGTCTGTTTTTTATGTTTTCACTGTTAATGATTTTGCTGCTCTTTCTGTTATATTGTTTTAGCACATGATATAAATCTCTACAGGAATATTACGGGGAGAAATATTTTAAATAAATAATGGGATTGAAACCAGTTCTTGTCAAGCAATTAGCCAAAAATTCACTGTGTGTTTACTGATTGCCTCCTTGGCTGCCTTTTTGCAGATCTTCTGCTTGCCTCATTTGAGAACAGACAGCATACGTGTTTAGCAGGGAAATGTTGCTATGTCCCTCTAAGCTGTGGAGTCTTGTGAGCAAAAATTCTACTCTGTGAGCTACTGGCATTAAAGTTGGGAGCGAGCGATTTGGCTGCTGCATCAATTAGTTTGCTCTGGAGCCATCCTTCCTGAGGGAAGACAAAAACGTGTGAACCAGAGGCTAAAAAAACTGTGAGCTAGCCCACACTAACTCAGCATAGAGGGAACACTGGCTATGACCCAATGGCATTGACCATTGTCTATAACTGTGTCTTTGAAATTAGGCTGGAGGGCACCACCACATGCCAAGAGACCTGTGCCTGCCCATACCACATGCTCACAACCCCTGGAAACCCCCCGCCCCAAGTTCTGAGCATAAATTCTTCTCATCATCAACTGCACATGGCAGCATCACCGTAACTCTATGGAACCATAGCAGACCCATGAAATGTACACGCCACATTGGCAGCCAGGACTCGTGCTAACATTGTATAGATGCCACACTCAATTCCATTTAGCTTTTGGGCAATAAAGCTGTTGAATGTAGTCATCCCAATAGACACATTGGCTGTGTGAAACGAGATACTAACATCCATCTCTTCGTCTGCCTCCAGGCATTGCGTGGTGGGAAAGCAATCATCCACATTTCCTTTAAATGGTTATTCAGTGGCAAGGCAGTGATTCAGGTGAAGGCTAAGTTCACACAGGTTGGGTACCACACTTTCAGTGTGTTTTTGCAGCTGGATTTTCCTGTGTGAAACAGGAAAGTCTACTTGCAAACAATGGCTAAAGTGCATTGAAAGTGCATTATCCAACATGTGTGAAATTAGCCAAAGTCTCACAGTGGTGGCTGTTCCCTCAGCTAATCCATGCACCACATGAACTCTTTTTTTCTTTTTCTTTTTTAAATCCCCGGAGGGATATTTTTTATTAATTTTTATAAGACTAAAAAACTACAAAGAAAATATAAGGAAAGGGGGTTACATCTAAGGATAAAGGATAGATAACCACACTACACTAAAAACCCAAGAGGAGGAGATCATATCCGTGTTAATCTACGTGTTATTAATAAAAGTGTTAGTACAACAATATACTTGTAGAGTTCTTGTTTCTCACGGCTTCAATGTTAGTATGTTAGTTGTTGTGAGAGAACCACATGTACTCTTGAAACAAGGAAACAGGCATAGGCAGGGGTCATTTGGGGCCGGAGCTCACTGGAGCGCCATTCTGGCAGCCCAGGAGCAGGCACAAGCCCCACCCCCAGCTCCTCTCTAGAGTAACACCGCAGTAGCAACGAGACTCTAGAGAGGAGGGTTTTAAAGTTTAAACCCCTTCTCTCTTTGCTTCCCCCCCACCCCGCCTTGGCAGGGCTGGCTGGGGAATCAAAAAGGGGGGTGGCATCTTCAAAAGCCTCCCCTTCCCTTCCCCAGCCGGCCCGCCAAGGTGGGGTGGGGGGAAGCGAAGAGAGAAGGGGTTTAAAGTTTAACCCCCTTCTCTCTGCTCCCCCCCCCCAGGGAAGGGAAGGGGAGGCTTTTGAAGATGCCTCCCCCCTTTTGCTTCCCCTTCTGACATCACTTCCGGTGATGTCAGGGGGCGTGGCATATGCGAATAGCCTATTAGGTATGCTAATACACTCCTGCAGCTCTTTTTCTACAAAATGACCCCTGGATAGGTATTCAGTGCCGTAGATAAAACACTGCAACTACTGTAAAAACGTCTCGTCCCAGTTTCACAGGAGTTAATATCTTACCAAGTGACACAAGCCACTCAGATTTTCCAGAGCAATAGCAGGCAATGTGGCGCTTGTATGTAAGTTCTCTGGGTTTCATTAAATGCGAGCCCGCCACGCCTGTAAGCAGATTGCTCTCCAACAGACAGAAACCCCAAATGTTTAGAACAGAAATAGCATCAATGAGTGGCATTTCATGTAAATGCGTTTAGTTTTGCGTAGAGCTGCCAGCTCAGGGTCGAGAAACTAAATGTGTTTAGTTTTGCATAATTAATTCTGTCAATTAGTAAAGTGATTATGCAGAAGATTTGGATTTGTGCGGTGTTATAAGAAGGAGGCTGCCGGCAAAAGATGAAAGGCGGGGACAAAATAAGTGTACATCTATATTGGCATCTAGCAAGATTTGAAAGTTGCATTCAATGACGTTTCTGTTGAGCAGTTCAAACTGTTCTGCAGGTCATGTTCTACCTTCAGTGAAGCCTTTCCATAACGTCATGTCAGCCAAAAAGTCTCATGGGGTTTAAAAGGTTCTAGGACATCTAGGGTGCACCCTTGATTCATACCAGGCCTATCTGGTCATCTTAACCCTGCATGCACATAAGGTTGCTAACCTCGAGGGAGGGGCTGCCACGCTCCCAGAATTACAGCTCATCTCTAAGCCACACAGATCAGTTCTAGGGATGTGCATTCGGTGTTTCCAAGCTGAATTAATACCTGAATCATGCCTTTTCAGCATTAGTTAAGCCGAATCAGATTCTCTGATCTGATTTGACTTACTGATACAAGAATCCCGAATTAATTTGGGAACCCTGAATTTTTCAGCTCCATTATACCCTATGGGAGCTGCAGTGGCTCAAGTGGTTAAGATGCTGAACTGCAGGCTGTGGAAGGTCAGTAGTTCAGCAGTTCAAGACCCGGGTTGCTGCATGACGGAGTGAGCTCCCGTCTCTAGTTCCAGCTCCTGCCAACCTAGCAGTTCGAAAGCAAGAAATTGCAAGTAGATAAATAGGTACTGCTTCGGTGGGAA